GTGCCGGGGACAAACATATCTAGTGAGTGGGCTTCTGTCTATTTTTGTGTATGTCAAAGATAAATGATGAGGATTTGTAAAGATCAAGTACTGTTGGATGAAGAATGAAGAGATAAAAATATCGTCATGTAAGGTATTAAGGTTGATTTTGGTTAGGGCGTACCTTCCTTTGAGTTGCAAAGGATGTAATTTAGTGTCTCAGATTGAGATCTTGTGAGTTCGTTAGGATTTACCAGCTAAGGAAGGAAGTAAAGGAAAATGAAGATATGCACTCATCCCGAATCTCTTTGTTTTTTGAGTTTTATTTATATGCCATTGTAGTTGGGTGCCTGATTGGAACCGAAGCAGGTTTGGGAGCATGGGATTGTTGCATGTCAAAAGCTCCCTAGTTAGGGAGCACCTGTACGATGAATATGTGGTGAGATTTTTACATGGCCCATATTGAAATAAATAAACAAATAAAAATAAGATAAATTTTAAAAATAGTGGCAGATTTTGATGTCTGAGGTCAAGTTTGGTCTAGAATGAAAATGTTTCCCCTTAGAACCCAAAGTTTACCTCGATACATTTTGTGCGTTCCAAGGAAACAACGGAACGTAATTCCAAAATTGGAAATGAATTTTCACTCAACCTTGGAACCACATTCCGAGAATGGGAGTCACCTTAGATGGAAGTTCCAGGGTATCACATAATTCCATGGTAAATATATCTATGGAGTTCAGTTAGTGTGAGATTTTGAGGCCTGCATACTGGAAAATAGAGACACATGCACCGGTAGGAGTGGCTGTCTGTGCAACAAATGTACTATGTTGATGCCTGAAAAATGTTTGCTAGATCGCTTTATATCATGGTAATGCCGTTGGATGGTAATCGGATGTATTAATAAATCCAACCATTTTCCACTGGCCAATGGAAGTTATGGTTAGAATCAGAGTTACCTGATCAGATTGGCTGGTCCAACAAATTGGGCTGTCAATAGGTGGCTTGGCCTTTTGGGTTCAAAGAACCATCCAAGCTTGGTTGAAAATTGGTCAAAATCAATAGTTGATTGGTTTTGACATGTCGGATTGGCTGATTTTTGACTTATCGAACCAGCTAAATGAGGGTTGAGCGACTTTTTTTGTAATTTATTTTCATATTTTAAAATAATTTTGCTGTTTTTCTTTATTTTTTAAAACGAGTTCAACTTGTTCAGCCTGCAGTCGGACTTGTTTTGTTTCAATCAGACCCCCTCATCGGCTCGATAGTTGGTCCATTTCTGAAAAACATTGATTGGAAAAGTAGGCTTAGAAACATCAAACTTGGCTGGGGAATTTAGCAACTGTCAAGGCCTTTTTAATGCGCGTGCTAGTAAAATGAGGCCATTCAGTTTGAAGTGTTGTCTGCTTTACTTCCTGAATTTGATTGTCGTTTCTGCTGTCAATTTCACCCATACTTCGTCTACATAATGTTAAATGGTTTATTACAATTTTTCATGTTATGAGGCAAACTCCATGGGGGACCAACTGTAACATGCGTGGGTATATGTGATTTGTTTGGTGTTGCAGGTGCATGCTTTTGGGTCATCACATGAGAGGTTTGGAGTACAGATTGCACCTTAGCTGTGCTGTGGGCTTGTTGTAAAGCGAGTTTGAGTGTGTATATTCATTCTTATATTCTACATCTACATATGCTATTCTTGTGTGTTTTTAACATCATATATTTTTGTATTCAACTTAATCATATGTTGAAGAGCAAGTGGAGACTCAGATGGGCTTCTTTTTGAGCTTTGCTTTCTCATTTGATCTATTCTACAACGATGTGATTCGATGTGTAGATCCTCATGCTTCTGTTCAGTTTTGGCCATTCAGTCAGACACTCTCTGTTTACTTGAATCTGAAAGCCTAAAGCTCTCTCTCGCTAGCCAAACCCAATCCAAAATACTTGGTGTTTTCTCCTAGCCACCCATGCCCTGGGGTTCCTTGGTTTGGATAGTGTAACAGAGAGCTTTTCTGGATTCGGATGGAGAGTAGAGAGCTTAGGATTTTTCGGTTGTCAAGGTACCACGCTCTCATCCTTATTTTATTTGTCAAGAAAAACAAAAGGGATTGATTACAAAGTGACCATTTGCTTTTTGTACAAAGAGGTTGTAATCATTTTTGTCCAGATTTTAAAATGGATGGTTGTAATGTGTCATTGATTGTACACAGTTCCAAAAAAGAATTTTTGATTTTGTGATTCATCTCAATCCATCCAATTTGACATCTAATGAGTGGAAATGGTTGTGACCTAGTACCAATGGTAAATAGTATCTTTATAGACAATCCCAAAACAAAATGCTTCGGACCTCTGGTTTTTGTAGAAAATTGGAGTCATGACCACATTTTCACCTCGTAGCGTAGCTCTTCACTTACCAATGTCGCTGAAATTTAACAGGGACAGTACTGTTGGTAGTAACACCAGCATAGCAGTCTAATAGCACACTGGTTCCAAATGAAATTCTCAAATAAAATAAGAAATTATCGACGGTGTCTACCTGACATGATACGGTGACTTGGCAGGAAAGGACTCGAGGAGCAGTAAGAGAATTAGAATCAATAACCAAGCAATTTCAAGAGATTATATGGAAAATTGGAGGTTATATTCCAGATTCACATGCCTCTCCGGTGAATGGGATATTTTTTTTTTTAATGTTATAGGTAAATATCATTAGATAGAGGAGCAAAGCTCTATAATTATAATAGATGAAGAAATAGAGGAATACAACTCGGATCCCAAATTCTTCCCCACAAAGCATCCTCCAATACAATCACCCCAAAAACTCCTTACCCAAAGCCATGGAGCACCTTCCCTATTGCAATAATCTCCGCATGGGCTGCGTTTTGAATAGCGCATAACTTAAAACTGAGTCGGCGCCCATATGACTAACAAGCAGATCATACAGGAAGGTGGAGTGTACAACCAGTACCCAGCATAAGGTGGTAGTGACAACCAGCGACCACCATAACTTACACTGAGTCGGCGCCCATATGAATAACAAGCAGATCATCCTGGGTGGCGGTGCACAACCAGCGACCAAAAAATATGAACAAAAGATGTGTGCAAAGAGAAGGTGAGAAAAAAGAGGGAGGATAGATACATGAGTGGACAGAATGGTGGAGCAAGGGTTAAGAAGCAGGTACCATGGAAATGGAAAAGACCCTGCAATGGGATACCGAAGCTTAAGCAGAGGGGAGAACCTCATCTTAGGAGTTAACCTATTTTGGAAAGGAGAGTTGACATAGAGACAATGAGGCTGAAGTCAACGGGAGAACATCTATAAAAAGGTGAAGGAGAGGGGTGGGGGGCCTGGAGCCTAATGCCTCTCTCTTTCTCTTCTTCTTTTTCTTTTTTTTTTTTTTTTTTTTTTTTTTGTTTTTTTTGTTTTTGACAAAGTTATGTAATTTTATTCAAAGAGAGAGGATTACATCTCTTAGGAACAAAAAAGGAAATAGCCACGCTAGCAGGAAACAAGGACAATTGTGAGAAAAGGAACAAAAATAAACTAAATAAAACAACTAAAAATAAAATAAAACAACAGCAACAAAGAAGGAGAGCATCTTAGGTTGAGAGGAAGAGCTGGGATTTGTCCGATTCACATAAAAAATTGTGTATTTTGTAACGTATACCGTTTATGGAGAGCATTTTAAGTTGAGTCTATTATATTTCCTTTGTATATCACACATTAATTAGCCGACTCCAAATATTTGGGATAAAAATCAGATAATGATGATCTTTCACACCTTGATACAATTGTTGGTGTACTTGGTGAAAAATTAGAGACTTGGATCTTTCGTCTTCGGGTGGAGGGTGAGGATGACGGCCCCCGTTAGATTCAGATTTTCGAGTATAGGCGATTCATTATGACGCGATTTCAAGGTTTATGGAACCTGGGCAATAGTGAGGATTGTTTTAGGAATCGGAGATGGGTTGAAGTGGTTAGCAACTTGACTTGCAACATTTCACGTTTGTTTCTTACCACTTAACTATCAAAAAAGAAAAGGGTTTGTCTATAAAGAGATCATTTACCTTTTTGTAAGGAGTTCACAATCATTCTTGTCTCTTAGATTTCAAAATGAATGGTTGTAAGAGTATCATTGATTAGATACAAAGTTTCTAAACAAAATTTTCAGACTTTATGGCTCACCCCAAACCAACTGATTTGACATCCAGTGAGTAGGAATAGTTTGTGACCTCCTTGTACAAAATGTAAACGGTCTCTTTGTAAACAATCCCAAAAGAAAAAGCCAGGATTATTTCCCCATGTGTAATATTTTGATGCGTAACTTTTTATAAATTCTACAATTTCGTTTTTAGATATCAATAGTTTTTCTAGTATAAAGAATGTAGATGTTCATGTTTCGAGTAAACACAGCATAATCAGACTTCTTATCAGTGTTCGCAAAATCAAACTGGAACGGTTAAGCGGACATGGGGCTGGGAGCGATTAGAACCAGAACAAGGCGGTTAATCGGACCAATTTGGTCCAGTAGGAATTTGTTTTTTTCAAATGGGTCAAGCCCCCCCCAAAAGAAAAAACAAAAATAGAAAAACATAGATTAAATGTATACTATCTTATTACTTATATTTATCCTTAAAAAAAAATAAAACTAAATTTTTATATAAATTAATATATGAATGTTATGGAGATATGCAAGATAATTTATAATTTGATATTAATTCAATTGAGGGAGTTATCCAATGAGAGAACATCTAATCTATCACAAAGAACCTTTTAATCCAACTAAGAAATTCGAACTCAATGCAATCCATTCAAGATTTCATCGATATAGAATATGAATCATATCTTATTTCCAAAGACATCAGGATCCTGGACGTTGTGCGATTAACATAATGACTAGCTATATCTCCACTAATACGAGAATTAAAAATTGGAAATCCGAGTTTCACGGTAAAAACCAGAGTCCCAGTGTAATGCACTTAAAAAAACATAATTAAAAAAAAAAAGCAAGAAAAATCGAGCAAGTAACCAGTGTACAATTTTTAAAAGAAATAAGCATTTTTTTACAATTAAAAATAAAACTCATCTTTTTTTCAAAAGATAATAATCAAAATTTGACGATTTAGATGAAACTTGAAAAACCTGATTACAACTTATACAAACAATGCATTTTGAGGGTGTCATTTCAAATTTTAAAAATATTTTTTGCATGATTCTTTCTTTAGCAAAATAAAATGGCAAACAAATACTCAATCAACTAAAAAATTATATTAAATTAAATATTAAATGAAAAGATACGTGAAATTCATACATGTGATCTCAACTGTAAAAATTGATCACCAAATCGAGCACAAAAATGGAACGGCCGTCGGATTTTTTTTCAGCTTCGTTCAAAAAAAATGAGTAGTTGCGCTAATCACTCAAAGTCGAACACCAAATCTCTGATTCTCAATGAAATTAGGACTTCAATCTTATTACTAACTCCATGATCTACAAAAGCCCTAGATTTTGATTGATAAAAAACCAAAGACAAATCAACAATCTCTAGTATGGAGGATTTTTCAACCAAAAAACTGAGTCGATGCCCTAATCACTCAAAATCAAGTTCCAAATCTAGGATTTTCAATGAGGATTTCAACATTGTGAATTAGGGTTTCAATATTGTGAATAACTCCATGATCTACAAAAGCACTAGATTTTTATTGATGAAAAACCAAAAATGAATATGAAATCTAGAGTGTGGCGACTTTTTTCAATTCGGTTCTAAAAAACTGAGTTGATGCCCTATTCACGCAAAATAGTACTCCAAATCCAGGATTTTCAAAGAAATTAGGTGTATAATCTACTGACTAAATCTATTATAATCTACTGACTAACTCTATTTACAACAAATGCCATACATTTTGATTGATAAAAAAAAAAAAAAGGCCACAATATGAACCATGTCGGATTTTTTAAAAAATGCAAAGAACATGGAAAAAAACACTCAAAAAAGATCAAATTTCGATATGTTTCCGGTTGCAATCCTTCATTTTATACTATTAAATCAATAATTTCAGTTAATTATTGACTAAAAATTGCTGAAAAAATAGAAAAAAACGATTAAAAAAAAGATTCGAACAAAAGTCATGGGTTCTGCATAATATAACGGGGACTGCTACGCACAATAGTGTCGATTATATAACCGTTGTTATTATGATATTTCAACGTTTTTTAATCCAACCGGTCCAGGTAGTTATAAACCGGCTGGTTTTTCTTAAATTACTTCTTATGGCGTATATATATATATATATATAAAATGCTGAGATTAGACCAGTAGTTCATTTGAACATATGAGTTCAACGGCCTAGATTGAATCTAGGTCAATTTGATGGTCACGACATCATTTCGTGTTTGAATTTTTTTTTTTTTTTTTTACAAATCTAAATAACTTGAAATTTTACGTATCCATTCTTCTCATCAAGGAGCACCTAATAAAAATATTTAAAAAATATTTTTCA